AGCAGTGTAAGACTAGAGGGAAGGCAGCTAGTCATCACCACCCACCGCCAACTCTTGGGCTACTCTTTTACCAACAACAAGTAAACGTACTCAAACCTTTACAAAAAATAAGAAAATATCCTCAGACTTTTATCAATATAAACAAGTAAATGTCTTCTGGTCTTCATCAAGGTAAACAAGTAAATATTCACAGTTCTTCACCGAAATAAAAAGGTAAATTTCCCAAGTTCTTTATAAATAAACAAGTAAATATCCTCAGTTCTTTATCAAGAAAAATCAGTAACTATGTTCAGTTCTTTATCAAGATAAACAAGTAAATATTCTCCGTTCTTTAACAAAATAAACAAGTAGATATCCTCAGTTCTTTAACAAAATAAAGAAGTAAATATCCCAGGGTTTAAGCAAAGTAAATATCCTAAATTCGTAAATATCAGATCTTTATCGAAATAAACAAGTAAATATCCTCACTAACTTATTAAGATAAACAATTAAATATCCTAAGTTCTTTATAAAGGTAAAAAAGTAAACATCCTCAGTTCTTTATCCAAATAAGAAAATTTACCAAGTTCTTTATCAAGGTAAACAAGTAAATTTCACCAATTTCTTAACAAGATAAACAATGAAATATCCTCATATCTTTATCAATATAAATAAGTAAATATCCTCAGTTCTTTATCAAAATAAACAAGTAAATTTACTCAGTTCTTTATCAAGGTAAACAAGTAAAGATCACCAGGTTGTTAACAAGATAAACAAGTGAACATCCTCAGTACTTTATCACAATAAACAAGGGTTTTAATCAAAGTAAATAAATAAATATCCTCAGTTCTTTATCAAGGTAAACAAGTAGATATCCTAAGTTATTTGTCAACTTAAACAAGTAAATATTCTCAGTTCTTTATCATGGTAAACAAGTAGATATCCTAAGATATTTGTCAACTTAAACAAGTAAATATCCTCAGTTCTTTATCATGGTAAACAAGTAGATATCCTAAGTTATTTGTCGACTTAAAGAAGCAAATATCCTTAGTTCTTTATCAAAATAAATAAGTGAATATCCTAGGTTTTAAATCAAGGGAAATAAGTAAATAACTTCATTTCTTTATAAAGATAAACAAGTAAATTTTCTAGGATTTTAATCAAGGTAAAGAAGTAAATCTTCTCACTTCTTTATCAAAATAAACAAATATATATCCTCAGTTCTTTACCAAAACATACAACTAAATGTCCTGAATTACATACAAGTAAATGTCCTGAGTCCTTTATCAACGTAAACATCTTCTCAGTTGTTTATCAAAATAAACATATAACTATCTACAGTTCTTTATTAAGATAGACAATCGAATATCCTCAGTTTTTATCAAAATAAACAAGTAAACATCTTAAGTTTTTTATCGGGGTAAACATTTTCTCAGTTCTTTATCAAGGTAAACAAGTAAATATCCTCAGGTATTTATCAAGGTAAAAAAGTAAATCTTCTCACTTCTTTATCAAGCTAAAATAGTAAATATCCTCTGTTCTTTATGAAGGTAAACAAGCAAATATCCTCTGTTCTCTGTCAAGGTCAACAAGCAAAGATCCTCAGTTCTTTGCCAAAATAAACAAGTATATATCCTCAGTTCTTTTTCCAGATAAACAGGTACATCTTCTTATTTCTTTATCAAGTTAAACAAGTAAATATCCTAAGTTCTTTAGTAAGGTAAATAAGTAGCTAATCTCAGTTCTTTATTATAATAAACAAGTAAATATGCAAAGTTCTTTATCAAAATCAATAATCAAATATCCTCAGATCTTCATTAAGGTAAATATCCTCAGTTTTTTATGAAGGCAAACAACTAAATATTGTTAGTTCTGTTACGTCTCCGTTCGTTAATTAACTTT